GTATTTATATCTTTACATAGATGTGTTTTGTTATTCTGAGTATGCAAAAATGAAAGAACAGAAAGAAAAAAAAGAAAGTTTCACAATCAGTGTCAACATTAGAAAAGAGGCAAATTACAAAAATTTTCACATTATTTTAAGGGACCGACTTGCACAATGCCTTGTAAAAACTATTTCACAATCTTATGTGCAATACTTCATACATATATATATACATGCATTTTTTAAGATATTTTTTCATTAACCATTTTTCTCAACAGTCAATATGAATACATCAAATAAAGGTGGTTCAAATCCATTATATCGTATACCACCATATTATTATATACATGTTTTGGATCAAAATACAAATGTAACACGACTCGAAGTTGGTCCAAAAACATTTATTAAACAAGATAATGAAGTGGTTACGATTGGACCAGAAAAAATGATCTCAGTACCGTATGTAAATTATTTTAGATAAAGAATATAAAAATAATTTTGAAATTATTTATAGACCACATCATTATTGTGTGATTGAATCACCTGTTGTACGTAACAAAGAATCAGTAGTTCAATTTGATGCAAATGGTCAAGCTAAACTTCTTCATGCTGATTTAGAAATTCGTCTTACACAACCTGATCAAGCACCATTTCCACTTTATCCTGGAGAAATTCTTCGTCATGTATGATTAACAATATTTTTTCACTCTGTAATTCTTTTTTTTTGTTTTTTTTAGCCAGTTACTCCTTTAAAAGTTGTAGCACCTAATTCAGCATTACGTTTAAAAGCTGTACTTGATTTTTATGATGAAATAACAAAAGAACAACGACATGCTGGTGACGAATGGTTATTCGAAGGACCTGGGACATATATCCCACGAAAAGAAGTTAGTGTAGAAGAACAAATTCGTGCAATTATTATTGGTACAAATCAAGCTATTCGTTTAAGTGCAAAAAAAGAAATTGTTGATCGAACAGGTCAACGACGTGTAACTGGTGAAGAATGGTTAATTAAAACTACGGGTGCTTATTTACCACTTGTTTATGTAAATTAAAATATTTTTCTTCTAATATTAAAACTAAAAAACAAAAAATTTATATTTTAGGAAAAAGTCGTTTCTGTTGAAGATGCTCATGTTTTAACAGATAAAAAAGCTCTTCATCTGCGTGCTCTGAAAACTTTTACAGATGATTTTAATAAACAACGTATGAATGGTGAAGAATGGCTTATAACTCTTAATGATACTGAAACACATATTCTTAATGTTTATGAACAATTAATTAATATTGTTGATGTAATCGTACTTGATTCACGTCAATTTTGTGTTATTCTCGATCCAGTTGCTGATGGAAAACCACAACTAGGAAAAAAGGTATGTCTCTTCTGTACTCACACACAAATTTAAACCCACACTGACCCATGCCCACGCCCTTCTTATTATATTTTAAAACCTTTTCTTTTTTTTTGTATAGAAACTTATTGTTGGTGAAAAATCATTTTTTCTTCAACCCGGTGAAAAACTTGCGAATGGTATTCAAGAAATTTTTATCTTAGGTGAAGATGAAGGTGTTATTCTTAGATGTATTGAAGCATTTCATGATGAACAAAGTAATACGAATCGAAATCCTGGTGATAGATGGATGATTCGTGGTCCAACGTAAGAATTTTTGATTTCTTTTTTTTTGTTATTGAAATTATAAAATATGTTTATTTTGTTTTTTTCAGTGAATATATTTCACCAACACAAGTTACAGTTGTTACACGTCGACGAGCGATACCTTTAGATGAAAATGAAGGTATCTATGTTCGTGATATAAAAACAGGTCGTGTACGAGCGGTTATTGGTGAAACTTATATGTTAACACATGATGAAGAACTTTGGGAAAAAGAATTATCTCAACAAGTTGAAGATTTACTTACACGTGATCCATTAGGTGAACGGAATGTTCAAACATCGGGTAAACCTCAAAAACAAATCACAACTTCTAGTGTTATAGAAATAGCAAATGTAAAATCTAAAAATCTTACACGTGATAAATCTAAATTAGTTACTTATCCAGTCCCTCATAATGCTGCTGTACAAATTTATAATTATAAATCTAAAAAGGCACGTATTATTTTTGGTCCCGAACTTGTTATGCTTGGTCCCGATGAACAATTTACTTTACTTTCATTAAGTGGTAATGTACCAAAAAAACCAAATCAAATTCAAACCATTTGTTTATTACTTGGTCCTGATTTTTTTACTGATGTCATTGTTATTGAAACAGCTGATCATGCACGTCTTTCACTTCGACTTTCATATAGTATGTTAAGAAAAATTAAATTTTTCAATTAGAAAATCTTTTGTATTTTAGATTGGCATTTCGAACTTGATAAAAATGATGAAAAAGAAGCGACCAAACTTTTTTCTGTTCCTGATTTTATTGGTGATGCAGCTAAAGCGATAGCATCACGTATTCGTGGTGCTGTTGCTAGTACGAAATTTGATGATTTTCATAAGAATTCAGCTCAAATTATTCGTGCATCTGTATTTGGTATGGATGCTAATCAACATATAACAGATCGATTTATTTTTCCACAAAATAATCTCGTTATTACATCGATTGACATTCAAAGTGTTGAACCAGTTGATCAACGAACACGTGATGCACTTCAGAAAAGTGTTCAGCTAGCTATTGAAGTATGAATTAAATAATTGATTTATAAAATTATATAATTTTTTTATTTATTTAGATAACTACAAATTCACAAGAAGCAGCAGCTAAACATGAAGCTTCACGCCGTGAACAAGAAGCGAAAGGTTTATTAGAACGTCAACGTATTAAAGATGAAGGTGAAGCTGAAGAAGTTCGAAAACAATTACTTCTATTACAAGCTGAATCAGCTGCTGTTGAAATCACAGGTCAAGCGAAAGCAGAAGCATTAAGTCATGCTGAATCAGCTCGTATTGCAGGAGAAGCTGCTGTTGAACAAGGTAAAAATAATATTTTAGAAATTAAATAATGTACTATTATTTTTTTTTTCTTCTCTATAGCTACTCTCAAAGCTAAAGCAGTACAAATTGAATCGGAATCAGAATTATTACGTTTGAAATCAGCACGTGAAGCTGAAATCAA